TATATATATATATATACCTGGAACCCAATTGACCCCTGTTTTGATAGGAAAAGGCCATATTTTGGGCGGTTGGTGGTCCAAAATAGAGGTCATTCAGGTTCTAGGTATATATATGTATATACAGATGTTCTGCAAGGAGCTCCGTCCGGTAGCACCACGGGAAGTGCACAGGTTTAAGGATGTTGCTTCAACTCTTTGAAGAGTCACAGCATAGAAGGGACGGGCAGCTGACTTGAGGGTGTGGAGCTGTCCCTCACTGATCAGGATACGGAACCCGTTGAAGAAACTGCACCTGTCATGGGGACATCATGGGATATCCGGACAACTCTTGCATTGGACAACAGACTTGTCATATGAACCAACCCACTGTCTGGGGGGATCAGAAAGAAGACTTCTCAGGTTCCTCGAGTGCTCAGGCTCCAAGCATCGCTTTCGCGTGTTGAACCAAACGCGCCAAGCATCGCTTTCGCGCGTTCCTCGACCTCTCCGGGGATCCGGAGAGTAGAGTGTCCATCGACCAAGAGTCGAAGCACGCGCGCCGGCCTCGCCAACAAAAGGGCGTCCAACTGCTGGCGGCGGGGCTGCGTGGGGGGGCTGTGTGGGTGGCAGGTCTCAGAATCGGACCGCAAAATCATGCGAAGTCTCTAGATCTGGCAGAGACATGCAGAGATGCCAAAATATGAGACTCACAGAGGCGTCAAGTTTAGACCAATAGAAATCAGAACCAGAGCCTGTTGCCTGGCCGTTCACGACACCAGCGCGATGGACCGACCACCACCGGGCCGCGCGGCTCGCGCCAGGTGGCACGCTGTGGGGAATGTTCTCGTCCCTTAGAGCCGGAAGTGGCCACTGGGCGGTCTCCGACCTCTCGGGGCGGGTGAAGCCGGGGTCGGATCGCCCGGTTCGGTTCGGTGGGGAGCGGAGCGTCTCACTCAGACTGCACTGAGTGTGGCATTTTCAGTCGTGGTAGAGCGAGGAGCGAGCGTTTGGGCGTCTCTGAATGTATCCACAAGCGTGCGTTGGGAACCTGCAGGTGGAGCTTGAAATGTGCTACTGTACCAGCAGGTTGACCCCTTGACCTTCGTTGGCCTCTCTTCGGGTCCAGCTCATGCGGAGTCATGCGAGTTTCAGAAGCTCAACTTGATTTGATGCACTCGTGGATCTGGGCCCCCAAAGGTGGTCTCAACAGGTCTCAACATGTTCTGGGGGTCCTCGATCAATGACGACCTCTCTGGTGGCTTCAGTGGACCATCTGTCCTCAACTTGGGAGTCTTGTGCCGGTGCTTGGGTCACCACATCGACGATTTGGATTCCACATCGGCCATTTTCAGATTCATTTCAGATCGAACACCCAAGGTTGACATCGGCCGCCAGCTCTGCCTCCGCTGCGCCGGACCCGTGACCCTCATACCACGAAAAGCACCCAGCGCCTCGCCCGAGAGTGAGCCAGAGAGCGAGGAAGGCGGGGTCCGTCCGGAGGGTCACGGAAAAGAGCCGTAAAACGCGTCCGGTGCGGTGTTTTGAGACTTCTCACTGAGTCAAGGAGTGTTTTGTTGTGCTTTTTTTCGCTGTCTCCAGGGATTTTTCCAATGTTTTTGGATGTGTTTTGGGATATATAATACATATAAATATAGATCTCTGTGAGGTTGGTTTCTGAGATCTTTGGACACTCTTGACAGTTGCCTTCAATGCACGTGACTGCATTTTTCATGGTATACTTTGAGAACCAATGGCCGAGCCCTTTCTTGTCCGAAACGTTCGCATCGGACATCCAGTGACTGCCGGACGTCTTTCCGCGCCGCAGCCGGCGAATGAACAAGCCCGAGTCGCCGTACTGGACCCCGACGGAGATGGCTTTGAACTGATTTGCTGTGTGATAATGGATGATGTTCATTGATTTACTAAATGGCAATGAGTCAAAATGTTTTGGTATGGATCATTGGCGGGTTGACCTTTCGTTCCGGACCACGATCCAGACCTTCGTTCCAGACCACGATCCAGACCTTTGTTCCAGACCTTGTTCCATACTTGCGTTCCAGACCCTTGTTCCATAGCTATGTTCTATACCTTAATCATCCTTAATCTATTTATAATTGTCTTGATGAAGTAGTTGATGGGCCAGGGCACAGTCTGAAGCAGGCTTACAGTAGTAGCCTAGTCGCGCCCTAGTAACTAGCAGCCTGGGCCTAGTCACGCCGTAGTATTTGTCTAAAAAATATATTCTTAATTACTATGTATTTACATTATCAAAGGAAGTTTAGTGTGCAAGGCAAAACTTCCGTGTTACGGACATTCAACAGCTGTTCAACCACCACTCATCATACACCACTCATCATACACCACTCATCATACACCACTCATCATACACTACTCATCATACACCACTCACCATACACGACTCATCACACACCACTCATCACACACCACTCATCATACACCACTCATCATACACCACTCATCATACACCA